TGTATAAGGCAAATAGATGCAACTTTCGAGGGGCAGTAACGCAAATGTCCCTTAAAAAAAATCCAGCGCCCTTGGGGCTGCGTTCCCCTGCCCACTGCTAGCCATTGTTTCCAGCTGATCGATGGTAGCAAGCGCTCTCCCTGCCACGTCCACGTCCGGCACGCTATCTCGACCATCGGATAACAGTTCAGGAGCTCTGCACACCTCGGAAAGGGGTGGGGTGGGGTCTCCTTGCCGTTAGGTCAAGACTGTGGGGGGTCCAAGCCTGAGTAATGAAGCGCGACCCCTATTATGCTTTTTGCTTGGAGAAGCAGCAGAGCAGGGGAGGCTGAACATTGCAGCCCCAATCTTCTCGCCGAACAGGAGAACGACGCCATTGCCACTTGTCACAGTGGCGAAAAGTCCAAAATGGACAAAGAGTCAGGAGAGTCAGAACGTCACTTCAAAAAAAAAAAAAAAAAAAAAAAAAAAAAAAAAAAAAGAATGTCACTTCGTACCTGCACATCTCCATACAAATCAGAGTCACCTTTGCCTCCGCACACGTCGGCATGAACTCTGAAAACGGCACATGTCCACATGCCTCTGCCCCATCGGCGGCAATGACGCCCTTCTCTCGTCGTAGAATTAAGCACCGCGTCCAGCCCGTTAAACCACCAGTACTTCCTAGAGTCGTGCCCGTTAACGCGCCACGATTTTAGGAAACGTACGGGCTACTACAGGAGCGCCCAAATTCATCCGACTAGAAACGTTTCTACTCTATTTTTTCCTGCGGCCGATAGCTGGGCCAAGTACTGGTGGCATTCAAACTAAAGCAAACATTGAGAAAAAACACACCATCGTGAGGGGCCTACGTGTCACTCATCTGCATTATTTTGCAGCCAAGATCACGACAATCCTCCATTCCTCACGGCCACGATCCTTCGTCATATGGCCTTTCTATGAACAAACACATACACTAGATGACCGTAACGAAAGCCTGTCAATACTACGGCTTAATCCCCCTATTTTTCGTACTGCTAACAACTAATAAACACATAAACCAAATAACGTCAACCCTACGGCCTTCATCCCATAAACACATCCCTAGATGACCCTAACGCCTGTCATTACGGCTTAATCCCCCTATTTTTTTTACTGCTAACTAAAACACAAACCAAAAATAACCTCAACCCTTTCGTAACTCCGGCCTTATTCCCTATTGTCCCGCTAAAATGGCCAAATTTCTAATACAGGAAGTCTTTGGGTCATTTCAGCCCGCTAAAATGGCCAAATTCCTAATACAGGAAAGTCTTTGGGTCATTTCAGCCCGCTAAAATGGCCAAATTTCTAATACAGGAAAGTCTTTGGGTCATTTCAGCCCGCTAAAATGGCCAAATTTCTAGTACAGAAAGTCTTTGGGCCATTTCAGAACCCGCTACTTGGGAAAAAAAATTACAAGCAAGCAAGCAAGCAACAACCACGTCGACTAAGGGCGAGATCCCACTAGCCCCAATTGTTCATTTCTGACCGTTGATCTTCGTAATCGAGGGTGAAAAATGAATAATCCAGGGTAGTGGGATCTGACCCTAAATAGACTTATATAGGTAAAACGATTCAGGAAACATGCTCTCACGCCCAATTTCTTTGGACGTGTAGGAGCGAATCATCTCCTCACGGGTCCTTCTATGAATACACCATCGTAGGAGAGACGGACATGGGGTGCTCAATGCACAGAAGACGACGTGAATATCAATCACACAAGAGAGAAAGAAGAAGAGGAAAAAGAGAAGGCGTCCTGACAGGTCAAAAAAAAAAAAGAAAAAAAAAGAAAAAGGCGTCCTCCGGGACACATCCATTACAACAATGGAACGATAGAGACAAGTTTAGCATGGCCTCTCCCTGCACAAGGATGACACCGATACATCGAGAAATGGTCCAAATCTTTCGGAAAAGAGGGTTCAGAAGTAAAACGAAGTCGTCGTCCTATAGGCGGGCGCTGGCTTGTGAGAAGGTGCGCGGGCGCCAATCTCACCGAATTGCGTGTGTGCGCGGCGCCGGTGCCTATAACCGAATCGTTAGCCGCTTCTCTTAACTGCGATCGCGTCGTTGTCCCAAGTACTGAAGATGTCAGAACGAGAAGAAAGAAAACATGCATGTCGTCGATCTGTACATTCCCCGCAAAAAGTGCTCTTCTATACGAGTCGGTTAATCACGTCTACGGACGCACGTGCGTCCGTACAACTGTCACTGTCGGCCATCTTGATGTGTGGCTGGCTGGTTGGCTGGCCAGCCCAGCTTCGCGCTGTGCGGCCACATTCGCGCCCATAGGAGAGGATGACAGTGCCCTCAATCAACTGTGGTCGGACGAAGAAGAAGGCGAAGCTTGACCAATCAAGGCTTGACCAATCAAGATACAAAAAGTAATTAGAGAGAGGGAAGAGAGAGAGGATTATGAGCGGCGCTCTGGATCAGAAGACTCGGAAATTTTGCTAGTGATCGTCATGAAGAGGGAAATTGAAAGAGAGCCGCCAGCAAGCAACGACAGATGGCGGACTGAGGTTGGAACATCTGCTCGAGGAGGGAGGGAGGGAGGGATCATAGTACCTTCTTCCCCCGAATACAACGTACGGCCATTGTATCTGTATTTGAGGCATCTTTCAGTCTAGATACCGCTATAACGACCGTACGTTGTATTCGGGGGAAGAAGGTAGTAGAGTAGAATCGACAAGACGGAGGAGCTTTTGTGGAGGGTAAACATATCTTCCTTCCCTTCGTTTGATGGGAAGGGGTCTGCTTGTTTTTTTTTTTTCTCGCCGCCGTGATTCCTTTTCACCTGTTGTGGCCTTGGGACTGGTTTCCGGCCAACCGAAGACGAATTGAATAGGTTTCGTTTGTTGTTGTTGTCATCCTTAAATCGCCGGAGGCGGGATACATAGCTTTAACAGGAGTGCCGACCTATTCGCCCGCGCAAATGGACTTGGGAGGCGGAATCTGAAATCAGAAAAAGTCGTTCCAGAGCGTAGACGGTACACGACAGCACATACTGAGAAGAACTGTACGTACCTTGAAGGAATCGGACCTTGATGGTGGGCAAATACATCCAGGCAAGTCCTACTGTGGTGCCCAGGCCTGAAGTTGTCCTCGAAATGACCATGATGAGCCGTTGAGTGCGAGTTCCGCCGGGAAACATCGGCATGTGCACACGGAACGGATGGAATGCTGAGGGACTGATCGGCAAGACACAAGTCACCACTCTTTGAGCTTCGACGACAAATGAGCAAAGATACATTTCAGCCAAAATACTTGGAATAATAATACCCCATTTTTAATCACGCATTCATCACGCACACTCACAAAGAGACGATTTCAAGATGACTGAAGCTGAAATCCGTAAGCCATATACGTTGAGCACAGAATCCAACCAACCATATATACCCCGATGAAGTGCGCAGATGGTACACTAATTCCAGACAGAAAGAAGGATCGAGAGATGACCTGCACAGAAGAGCCCTTGAGACAAAGAGGATAGTCATATACCCCGATGAAGTGCGCAGATGGAACAGTAATTCCAGACAGAAAGAAGGATCGAGAGAGAGAGATGACCTACGCAGAAGAGCCCTTGAGACAAAGAGGATATAGACAACACAGAAACACTACCTAGTAAACAAAGCCATACAGCCTTCCCGCCGAAACCAAGATTATAGACAAAACAGGGAAAAATAAAAGTTCATGACATTTCAAGAAAGCGAACAAGCTTTCCGCCGATCACGCAAAACACTGAACACGCACAAAGGGCGATTCGTTCAACTTCCGAATCCCTCCCCCCCCCCTCCCCCCTTACAAAACAGGGGAGCCGCAAGCGATCCTTTTGCGCAATATCTGTTACAGCCATCATCTGGACAATACACACCACTCAGAAGAACAGTTATTGACGAGTCCGTCAACAAATAAAGCACCAACCATTTTTCCTATGTACATCACACAACAATCACTGCCGATTAACCCCTTCTTCCCTTTGCCCCCCCTTCGCCGACCACACCCTCCCCTAACTCTCTCTCTCTCTCTCACTCTCTCTCTCTCTCTCTCTCTCTCTCTGTATAAGAGACAGGTACAGAGTATACTGGCAAGACGGCTTGGAACACCATTGTGGGTTTTGGGTTTGACT